CGGCACGGCACAACTCAATACAACTCGGCACGGCACGACAAGACTTGACTCAGCGCAACACAACATGGCACGACTCGATACAACTGGGCACGGCACGACAAGACTTGACTCAGCACAACACAACATTGCACGACTCGATACAACTCGGCACGGCACAACAAGTCTCGACTCGGCACAACACAACATGGCACGACTCGATACGGCTCGTTTTACACACGCTGCCGCTGACAAATTGAACGTTGCGTTAGAGATGAATGTAATAATACGTGAGGTGCGTATTTAAAACGCCCCGATGCGCCCACGCCCCTCGCAGATCTGGAACCACCCCGACGTCCTCTACGAGGCGCTGCAGAAGGAGACTCTCGCCAACGAGCAGGACCTGGACCTGGACGACATCACCACGGGCAACAGCCGCTGCCAGGCCCCTGGCGGCCTCAAGCCCAAGCTGGAGGGCAGCGCCAGGCCCGACTCCACCAACAGCAAGTATGGCCTGCCGGGGGTGGGCCTGAGCGTCCTGCAGGAGAAGGCCAACCAAGTCATCACCTACGAATGGGTAAGCAGTGGGCGGCTCTCTGGGTCGCTGGGCTCCTGCACACAGCCGCTCGAGAACGTGAGTTACAAACGAGAGGAGCCCGTTGTTTGGGTTTTGAGCAGCTCATTTATCCTCGAATCTCATCCGGCTGTCTCCTGAAAGAAACCAGGGGATCGGCTTCAACGACGAGGCTGGGCAGCTCGTTCCCCCACCCCCACCCGCCCTTTGGTTTGAATGCAGGGTCCAGGTCTTGTGTGGGTTATGCTGAGCGTCACGCTGCGATTCATCCCGGCGATCAAAGGGGATGAATTATAGTTCTGGTTGTTTTAGGGGGTTGTTTTTAGTTGACACGTCATCTCATTCATGAGGATCTTCACAGCAAGAGCCTGACTGCTTGTTATTGGAATGACAGTGCTTCCTCTTGTATTTCCGATCTGTTTTGAGTAGAGTCACACGGGATTGTTTTTCTTCCAGAATTGATTTTCTTGGTGGGGTTTTCTTTGCATTCACTGATGGGCACGGATTGTAATGAATCGCTGGATTAATTAAAATTCCCCCCTCTTCCAGGCAAAGGACCTCATGACCAATTACCAGACGGGTGTGCTGGAGAACTCTGCCAAGATGGTGTTGCTTTTTAACCTGATAGACGAAAGCGTGAGGAAAGGAGATAAAATCCTGGTGTTCAGGTGAGGAAGAGACCGGCGTCTCTAATGGTCTTCCACAGCAGTACCTACTCCAGTCCTGGGGGGCTAACGTTTCTGTGGGTCTTCAGTCCGCTTCTGCCATTAATGACCTAATTGAGCTGATCATTAGCTTGACTCAGGGTCTTCAGCAGTTGACAGGCTGAAGGAACCCAGAGAACTTGCTCGATTCTCGCCCTTGAAGACCACAGCTGTACACCCACGATCAGCTGGAGTTAAGTAAAAACTTCCGAGACGGCTACAAGACAGATTTACATAAAATGTGACAAAAAAGACCAATCAGAGATGAACGTGGCCCACTGTTACGCTAGTATCGGGTAGGACTCGACCCAGGTGTCGGCTCTATCCTGAGGGCCCTGGACAGACTGCGATGGGGCGCTCAGTCCCTCTGTCTGGACGACGGCGGTCAGCGGTCGAGCGCTGGCCAGTCACAGTTGTCCTCCGTGGTTGTGCGTTGGCAACATGGTCCCCCAAACGTCGGGGGAAACAAGCAAGACACCCCCCTTGATGTCTTGAAAGATGGGTCACGAGGTGGTCTTGTTTGTTCTGCCGCTACAAAATCCGCTTTTCTGGATTGACGGGATCGGATTAACTCCTGCTTCATGGTCTCGGTCAGTGTGTCCCTGAACTGGAAGGCGTCCCTCGTCTTGTGATGAAGGAGATTGAAACTACAGACAGCAGCAGTGGGACTTAGTCCACCTGCACGCCTGTTTAACACATTATTAATGTTTCCACTGCTCTTCTGAATTTCTGTTCTGATTAAGAAGATGGCTTTCAAAAGTTTCAGGAAAGCCTTTGCTCAATAAGCCCTTTTTTCCCCCCCAATCCAGCCCCCCCAAAACGTTTTTTCCCCCTTTTCCCTATCTGTATTGGCTGTTGCTGGATTTTACACAGCTGAAGCCGTGGACTGGCTTTTAGATAACTGGAAATACATTTCGCATTTGGGATTCTGGGGCAGGAGAAAAAATAAATCTCGGGTTGTGAACATCTCATCCAGCGACTGTCGTCTTCCCCACAGCCAGAGTCTTTCCACGCTGTCGGTCATCGAGGAGTTTCTGGCCAAGAGGCCCATGCCAGCTGAAGGACACAGTGGGAGCTGGATACGCAATGTCCACTATTACCGTGAGTGTCCGCTGTGCTCCCACTGACCTCTCTCTTCTACGCGGTCAGTGATGTAGACCGCTGCAGGCTGGGAGTTGGCAGCTCCTATCCATTTTAATGCGTTATCGCCCTCTGCTGGTTGACTCTTAAGAACTTCTGTCTGCATTTAAAATTTCCACAAGCTGGGCAGCTCATACAACCACATGTGTTCTTTAAAGAGGCCATTGTTGGAGAAAACCCACAAATGTGAACTGAATGTGTTGTTGACCGTAGTGATATAATCAGTGAACATTGTAGGTGTTGCACGCATTGCTGCCTAGGAGCTGGGTTCTAATCTGCCGGTGTGTACCGGAGGAGTGCCTTGTGGGGTCACGGGATCTGTCTCGCTGTCCACAGGGTTAGACGGGAGCACCTCCGCGTCTGAAAGAGAGCGGCTCATTAACCAGTTCAACGACCCCAAGAACGACACCACCTGGCTGTTCTTGCTGTCCACCAGGTCAGTCGATCGATCAAGTTGATCCGTCGGTCTTATCTGCGTACGAAAGGTTTTTCAGTACCGGCGTCTCGGATGTCTGGTGCCATGGAAAGTGACTGCAAAGCAAAAAAAATGAAGAGCAGGTTAGGATTTACAAGAATACAATACCGAGTACCATAGAAAGTAACCTTTTGTAGTCTAGTTCTGTTGCTACATCCTCTCCAGGCACATTTGCCTTTTTTCCTTAATGACTGAGCCTATAGGCAGTGCTTGTAAGCTGTGGCATGCTACTCTGCAGTTCATACCTTCGGTTTCCTGGGTATCCAGGGAGATAAGAGTCCTCAAGGGGAGACATCCGAAATAAAGAGATTGCCTAACAAGGTACAGACACCGGCCTCAGCTATTGCTAAATCCAGGTTGTGGGTTCCTGAACGCCCTGTTCTGAATCCTCATCCATCCTGCTCCCTCAGACGCTCCTGCCTTAACGGCGCTCAAAATGCAAACTGGATCGTTTTCCTTCTAGTCCCGCGTGTCCGGGTTTCAGCCCATCTCCTCCGTCTCCTTCCGCAGAGCGGGGTGCCTGGGCGTGAACTTGATCGGCGCAAACCGCGTGGTGGTCTTCGACGCCTCCTGGAACCCGTGTCACGACGCCCAGGCGGTGTGCCGGGTGTACCGCTATGGGCAGAGGAAGCCCTGCCACATCTACCGGCTGGTGTGCGACTTCACGCTGGAGAGGAAGATCTACGACCGGCAGATCTCCAAACAGGGCATGTCAGGTGAGGCTGGGGTTAGCGTCCCGGGTTCGACGCCGCCGTCCGATCCCTGGATTAGCCTGAGAAGTTGCACACGGCGGAGAGCGCACCGGTGTTTCCCAGCAAGCCTCGGAGACACATTGGAACAAAACTGCATTTTCACGGGACCGGTGGGTCGCGCTTCAGTTTCCTAATAAAGGACTTTGAGCGACGCGCACGTTCGGCCGTCTCTGAATGATGAAATGAATGGTGTATCGCAGACATCACACGGTGCTGGTTGTAAAACTACAGGCTCACGAAGGTCTGTTTGACAGTCACGGCACATCCCCCCCTTTATTTTCTCGTTGTCTTCTCCCTCTTGGCGATGGTGCCACAGGGTACTTAAATCTCCACCCTTGTCTCTCTCGTGTGCCCTTTCCATCGCTCAGACCGCGTGGTAGACGACCTGAACCCCGTGCTCAACTTCACGCGCCGGGAGGTGGAGTCTCTGCTGCACTTCATGGAGGAGGAGCCCGACCTGTCCAGGGTGCACCTGGAGCCCAGTCACAGCATGGAGAGCGTCATCCAGCAGGCCTGCGTGCTGTACCCCCACCTCATCACCAAGGTAAGGCAGGGCCCCACCCCCCCCAGACCCCCAGCGCTCGTCTCGAAGGCTGCTCTCCTTGGCGAGAGCTCCGAAAGATTGTGGGATTGTTGGCCAGTTGTTTTCAGTGGCGCTCATTTTGATTCGACAGAAACCCCTAGGTCACGTGCCTCGCTGAGAGCCCTTACACACAAAATCTAAGCTGCTTTGGAGAAACTCGCCCGTCTTAAAGTAATAATTCTCCTGCTGGTTTTATCTCAGTTTCATATTTTATTGTCAGCATCACCGTGTGGTTTTCAGATGAGACCTAAACCTAGAAAATCCCTGTGACTTTATTTTTGGAATAATCTTTTTTTTTTTAAGTGGGAGATTAAAAGATTATTTGCTGCATTTTTCTCCATCCCAGATTAAGTTGAATGAGAATTGGCCTGTTATACGACACCTCTTCTCTTGTGCCCAGAAGCAGCTAAAGGACAAAACCGCAGTTGCCTTGGAGAAACTCTCTCATCTGCGATTTGCTTGCTAGTGAGATCAATTAAAATGAGTTGGTAACCTGTTCTGTTGTGAAAGGGGCTCTTTAAAAGAAATTATCAGTACAGACCTCACCCTCCTTTTCAACATAAAACCGATAATGTCAGTTCCTAAGACCTGTAAATGCAGATCGGTAGAACCAGCAGGTGTGCTGACAGCATATCGCCTGTGGGTTGATGTTAAGCACTCAGAAGGGTAAAAGAGTCTGCTTTTTTTCCCCAGGACCCCTGCAAAATAAGTCCTGCTCGTTACAGATGATTTTAGCCCGGTCTGTAGTGGGCATGCTCTGCAGAGTAAGCGAGAACGTGCCTTTCTTACTCGTGTGTGCCCTGTCCTCCCAGCAACCCTTCCAGCACGAGTCTCTGCTGATGGACCGCAAGGAGATGAAGCTCACCAAGGCGGAGAAGAAGGCAGCCAAGAAGAGCTACGAGGACGAAAAGCGTGCCTCGGTGCCCTACACACGGCCCTCCTACGCCCACTACTACCCTGCCAGCGACCAGAGCCTCACCAACATCCCTGCCTTCAGCCAGAGGAACTGGTGGGTGTCTGACTGCTGCGGCGGCCCCGTCTCCGCAGACACTTGGGCAGAACAGGTTAAGCTTGCAGGGCTCGTTCATTCTGAGGTTAGACGGCTCTTCCAGATAGGTGTGTCATGAGAGGAGGGCGAGATGGCCCAGCCACATTCGGTGTGCAGGCTGGAACACATGTCCCCCGGGTGCACCAGTACAGACTGGGAGGAAGGATCTGCAGTGTTGATCCCAGGATGAATGCAGGCCAGCAGGGTCAGCAGGCTGGGTCTCTGAGCAGATGCTGTGAGCAGGGGTGTGTGCTGTTGTACAGGGGAACTCCAGGCTGCCCTCTGTGCGTTCATGCACATTTCATTTTTTGCGAGGTGCAGGCGTCTGCAGTCCACTAGTTTGAGTAGGCCCCCCTTTTCATTCTGGTAGGCAAGGAGCCGCAGGGCAGTTCTGTGTACTTTTGAAATAGCTTTGTTACAATCTGCGACCTCATACGTTGTGTTAAGAAAAGGACATGCTTGCTAACGCAGAATGTCAAAGGACACACTTGTCGCAGATATGCATCTAAGCACTAACACACCTGTTGTCACAAAATCTACACAATCCTGAATCAGATCTTTATAGATCCGAGGCTGCAGAAGATACTATGTCTTTTGAATGTGAATAAATGAAAGCTAACTGAATTCTGCACCCTGTACATGTGCTGTTAGTAATATAACACTCGAGTGTGTATTTGAGTAACATACAGTTCAACACTGAACAACCTTGATTTGCTGGCTGCACCCCCGAGACCTACTATAGATCTACAGTCCTAAAAATGACATTTAAGTTTCCTGAAAATCACTTAAAAATAAAGCTGATCTCCATCTGTGGCGGCCAAGTAACGATGATAAGTATGGATAACATGTAGTAACGATAACGCGTACAATAGGCATGAGTAAAGTGTTTTTTTAAGATCTCAGACCTAACCTTTGACCTCCCCTCCTCCCGCCCAGGCGCCCCCCTCCACGGCCAGATGAGAAGCCGGTGGCCAGCGTCCGACCCGTCCAGTCCACCCCCATTCCCATGATGCCCCGGCAGGTGCCCCTGGGCCCGGGGTCCTCGATGGCCGGTTCCAGCTCCGGACATAACTTCCCCGTCAACTACCTGCAGAGAGCCGGGGTGTTTGTGCAGAAGATCGTTACCACGACGGGTACGGCCTGGCGCTGCTGGGGCTGGCACTGGGAGAGCCGGGCAGGCGGCCTGGGCGGCCTGGCACAGCCACACCAGCCTCAAACACGTAGAGCTGTGCCGTAGCCCTTTCGCGGCAGGAGATGAAAAATCTCGGTTTTATGTACAGGACTAAAAGGAGACCGACGTAAGAGCAGGGCTTGGTCTTTATTTTATACCCTCTCAGATAGTAATCCACCAGCTGTTTCCGTGGGCTCTGGGCTCATAGCAGGGGGGGATGAGGAGCCATCTGCAATGTGCCGAGAGCTCCATAGCGGCCTACAGGAGAGTTAGCGCTCGTGTGTGGAGAACAGTGGCGCAGCTGTCCTTGACACCAGTGCAGGTCTGCTCCCACTCTCTCAGAGAGCAGAGAGCCCTGTGCCGCTTTTCCTACGCTCACCCCTCGCGGTCATCCCAGTCACAGTGGGCTAGTGACGTGATGTGGCCCAGCCCTCGAACCCGCGATCACGGAGTTCAGCCTAGCCTGTGCTTGGGTCGAGCCACCCGACACTCGGAACAAGGTTCTGCAGATGCTGCTGCTGTTGCAGTGACCCGTTTCTTTCATGCTGCTTTCTGGGATCACGGAGTCGACATGCGTGTCAGGGTGGACATATTTTAAAAGGAGAGGTTCTGAATGACAAATGGGAGAAGTATTTTTGTGTAAAAAAAAACGCTTTGTTTTGATTTTATACGATTAGTGTTCATGTTTCAGTTTTTGTTCACCTACACTTTCCCCAGTGCCCTGCTGAAAACAACACTTGTCCTTCCTTTTTTCCCCAGATATTGTGATTCCGGGAACGAA